GTTCGATTCCTCAGCACCACATAAGCAAAAAGAAAAAAGCCGGAAGTGGCGCTGTGGCTCAAGTGGTAGAGCACTAGTCTTGAGCTGAAGAGCTGAGGGACAGCGCCCAGGCCCAGAGTTCAGGCCCCATGACCGGACCCAAAAAAAAAAAAGGAGGGGGACTTAATGTTAAATTTATATACCCACATGTAATAGTATGTGGATGTATTTGTGTACATATATTAATAAAAAGTTAAGACTTCCATAAAATATTTTAAAACACACAAAAAAATCTTAGAATCAACTTACCTGGGGTAACTAGCATGAAAATTCAAGTTGAAAGGAAAGGGGAAAAATGACCATTACAAAAAGGTTTTTTCTGGTTATTGTTTTTTGGTGTTCTTTGTTTTATTTTGTTGTTTTTTTTTCTGCCAGTCCTGGGATTTGAACTCAGGACCTGGGCGCTGTCCCTGTGCTTCTTTTGCTCAAGGCTGGCGCTCTACCACTTGAGCCACATTCCCAGCCCTTGAGATATTTTTAACATTTTTTGTTCCTGTCCTGGGTTTGAACTCAGGGCCTGGGCACTGTCCCTGAGCTCTTTTGCTCAAGCCTAGCATTCTACCACTTTGAGCCACAGCCCCACTTCCAGTTTCCTGTTAATTAGAGATAAGAGTCTCACAGACTTTCCTGCCCAGGCTGGCTTTGAACTGCGATCCTCAGATCTCAGCCTCCTGAGTATCTGGGATTACAGGCGTGAGCCACAAAGCAGGTAACTTTTCAATAGACACTACTGAGTCTTACCTCTATCATAGTTAAGATCAATGAAAATATAGAAAACATATCCTTTTTGTTATTTAGAATCATAATAAGAAAACAGAAGTTTGCTAGAAAGATATAGAAGAGGTGTACAGTGGCTAAAGATTATGCTAGCAAGTTGAACAAGCAAAAGTCTTTACAAACGCCTGGCGTGTGCAGATATTGGGAACTTCTCTGCTCTTCACACAGTCTGCTCCCTGAGATCCAAATTCAATCCCCAGCGCTCCGTGGGGAAATGGGGGTTTTCTCTACCTGTGAGCCGACATGTAAATATTTAAAATGGAAACATCCACTGTTACAGGGAACTGGCAAATATATCACACTGTGACTTGAATTGCTCATTTCTTCCCTTCTGGCCTCCAATTCCATATTTATAACGTGAAAGCCGAGACCAGGATGGAAGGGGGTGGTGACTCTATTATTATGCATGTTGAATTAAAACCCTTTCGGACAACCACTTACATAGAAGAAAAATACATTTTAAAAAATGAAAATGTATTTAAGGGGCTGGGCAGGTGGCTCAGTGGTAGAGCGCTTGCCTCGCATGCATGAGGCCCTGGGTTTGATTCCTCAGCACCACATAAGGAGAAAAAGTCGGAAGTGGCGCTGTGGCTCAAGTGGTAGAGCGCCAGCCTTGAGCTTAAGAGCTGAGGGACAGCACCCAGGCCCTGAGTTCAAGCCCCATGACTAATCAAAGCTGGGCACAGGTAGCTCATGCCTGAAATTCCAACTACTCAGGAAGCTGAGATCTAAGGATCACAGTTCGAAATCAGCCCCAAGTAGGAAAACCTGTGAGCTTCTTGAGATCACCAATGAACTAGCAAAAAGCAGGAAGTGGAGCTGTGGCTTAAGTGGTAAAGCATCAACCTTAGTGGAAAAAGCTAAGGGACAGCCCTCTGGCCCTGAGTGCAAGCCCGAGTACTGGCACACACACACACACACACACACACACACACACACACAAAATGAAAATAAAATCAACATGGCACCAAAATAAAACCAAGTAGGCCAGAAAACAAAAGCAAAAAATAAAATAAAATAAAATAAATGGGGGGAGGGGGAGGAGAAAAGCAAAAGCAAAATAGGAAGAAAAATTAAAATGAAAGCAAACCTAACATGAGCCAGAAAACAAAAGAGGGAAAGAGAAAGGAAAGGGAAAGGGAAACAGGGAGAGAAAAAATAAAATGGAATCCTTGCTGCGTGATTTCCCACAGTTTCTTCCACGCACACACGTAATAAAAGTCCTATCATTTGGGCTGGGCAGGTGGCTCAGGGATACAGTGCTCGCCTAGCATGCATGAAGTCCTGGGTTCGAGTCCTCAGTCCCACAGACACAGAAAAAGCCAGAAGTGGCGCTGTGGCTCAAGGGGTAGAGCACCACCAGCCTTGAGCCAAAGAAGCTCAGGGTCAGCGCCCAGGCCCTGAGTTCAAGTCCCAGGACTGACAGCAACCACCAGCCACCAAGTCCTATCATGTGAATGCTTTTCTGCTGGGCACCATGGTGTGCACGCGCATCCTAAGGCCCAAACAGACTAGCAGAGGGCGTGGCAAGGACCACGGTTGCTATGGAAACCTGCTCACCGCCTTCCTCCCCGTCTCCGGGGATGCTCGCCGCCAGGCAGTACATGGTGCTGGTGCCCTCGCTGCTGCACGCGGGCGCCCAGGAGACGGGCTGCGTGCTGGTGAGGAACCTCAACGAGACGGTGACCGTGAGAGCCGCCCTGGAGTCCATCAGGGAGAACAGGAGCCTGTTCCGCGACCTGACGGTGGAGAAGGATGTGTTCGACTGTGTCAAGTTCACGGTGAGTACAGACAATGCGCAGGGTCCTGGGCGCCTCGGATCATCAGGCAAAGGCTTTGACAACTTCCCAAAGGCGTCTATGTAGAGCAACTAAATATGGATTTATGGGGGGGGGGGATGTCGGTGGTGGGACTTGAACTCAGGGCCTGGGCGCTGTCCCTGAGCTTTTGTGTTCAAGGCTGGTGCTTTACCACCGTAGCCACAGCGCCACTTCTGGTTTTCTGGTGGTTCATTGGAGAGAAGAGTCTCGTGAACTCTTCTGCCCAGGCTGGCCTCCAACCATGATCCTCAGATCTCTCAGCCTCCTGAGGAGCTGGGGTGACAGGCGGGAGCCACTGGTGTGCCCTGAAGAGTGTGTGTGTGTGCGTGTGTGTGTGTGTGAATACAGGGTGCTATCCTTTAGCTTTTGTGCTCAACATTGACCCATAGCTTCACTTCCGGTTCTTTCTTTCCTTCCTTCCTTCCTTCTTTCTTTCTTTCCTTTCTTTCTTTCTCTTTCCTTCCTTCCTTCATTCCTCCTTCGTTCCTCCTTCCTTTCTTCTTTCCTTCCTCCTTCCTTCCTTTCCTTCCTTCCAGGGACCTTGAAGGGTGGGGAGGGCGGAGGAGAGAGAGGAGGGGAGGGGAGGAGAGGGAAGGGGAAGGGAAAGGAGGGAAGAGAAGGGGGAAAAGGGAGGGGGAAGGGGAAGAGGGGAGGGGGAGGAAGGGGAAGAAGGGGAAGGGAAGAAAAGAAGAGGAAGGGGAGGGGAAGGGAGGAGAAGGGGGGAGGGGAGGGAAAGAGAGGGGAGGGGAAGAGGAGGGGGCGGGGAGGGGCAAGGGGAGGGAGAACGAGGGAAGGGTGGACAGGGATCCACACAAATTGTCCTCATAATCTGACTTGTGGAATTAAGACCTTTTTGTGCAACTACTTATTCCAAAGGAAGCGGGGACATGGCAGTAAGCACCACGCAACGCGTGTGCACCTTCCAATTAAAATGGGAAAAACAAAATAAAATGACATTTCTAAAGCCCATTGGATCAGGGCTGAACAGGAGCCCCGTGCGTGGACTGATTAGAAGGCCTCAGCCTTTGTTAGCATTAAAATGATACAGTCAGTCCCACACCCGTGGCTCCTGCCTGTAATCCCAGCAGTCAGGAGGCTGAGATCGGAGGATCGCAGGTCAAAGCCAGCCTGGGCAAGGAAAGTCCATGAGACTCTTCTCTCCAATGAACCACCAGAAAACCAGAAGTGGCGCTGTGGCTCAAGGGGTAGAGTGCCAGCCTTGAACAAAAAGCAGCTCAGGGACAGCGCTAGCCCCTGAGTTCAAGCCCCACGACTGACACAACTTTACCAAACAAGTCTCCTGAGCAAATGCCCCAAAGGCGAAGGAGAAGACCCAACGGTCTCTTCTCCATTGCAGATTCCACCGATTCCCACCAGCGAGGTCATGTTTCTCACCATCCAAGTGAAGGGAGAAACTCACGAATTCAAGAAGCGCAGCACGGTGATGATCAAAAACAAGCAGAGCATGGTCTTCGTCCAGACAGACAAGCCCATCTACAAACCCGGGCAGACAGGTGAGCACAGCGTCCCAGCCCAAGCATCCCAGCCCAACAGCTGCCTCACCGCCACCCTGCCCACCAACCAGGCAACGTATTTCTGTTACAGTGCAATTTCGTGTGGTCTCATTGGATGACACTTTTCGCCCCCTGGATGAGGTGGTAAGTCCCCTGTGGTCTATATAAACGCATTTGCCTTGGTCTAAAATGGCTGGAAATATATTTGGGGTCCTTAAGGGAGGACCAGGGACGGATGGGAATTATCTGCCATGGCTAACAGTACATTCCTGAAGTTGAACTAGCACAAGAACTTCATGTAAAACATGACCCCAGGTAGGGAGGGGGATGCCTGTAATCCCAGCTACTTGGGAGGTGGAAATGGGAGGAGAACCAGGGAAAAGTGAGTGTGGAACTTGATCTGAGAAACTGGACTAAAAAAAACAACAGACCAGGGACATGGTTCAAGTGGTGGGGTGATTTTCTAGTAAGTATGAGGCTTTTGTTCAATAAGAAAGAAGAGAGAGAGAGAAGGAAAGAAGGAAAGGAAGAAGAAAGAAAGAAAAAGAAAGAAAGAAAGAAGGAAGGAAGGAAGGAAGGAAGGAAGGAAGGAAGGAAGGAAGGAAGGAAGGAAGGAGAGTGAGGTAAGGGAGGGAGGGAGGAAGAAAGAAAGAAATTCCCTCAGGTCAAAAGAGGAGGGAATTTGGAATTCTGTCTTGGTCTGAAATCCAGTCAGTTGTCCTGCAAATTAACCTCCTCGTTGATTTCCAAATCAGCAGATACATTAAATATTAGGCACGGAAAATTATCCACGGACGTAAGGTGAAATGATTTCGCAGAGCTTTAAAGTTGTTTCTGTGCACACTGGCCAAATCCCTGCTATGAAAGAAGATCGGCTTTTGTTCCTCAAGTCAGACCTTCACTATCTGAGAGAAGACGCATGGTTTTATTATACAGCAAACATCCAACTATTTAATACATTTACGCCTATACATTTGATGTACGATGTACATATGGTATAATGTATATGGGACATTTATATGTGACCAGGATGGTTTCTATATACAATATATGTGATATATATATATATATATATATTAAATGTTATATGTATATATATGGATATATTATATTTATATATTATGGATATGTAGAATGCATTTTGTAATATATATGATGCTATATGTGATGTATATCTATCATATCTAATAAGTGGATAGATGTACATTGATCTAGATCTATGTACAAACATGCCAGGTTTGAGAACACTCATGAAATCCATTCTTGTTTTTTGTCTTTCAGATTCGACTGCTATACATTCAGGTAAGCAATAGGTATTCAATCATCAGAAAGAGAGTAATCATAAGCCGGGAGCCGGTGGCTCATCCCAGCTACTCAGGAGACTGAGATCTGAGGATCAAGGTTCAAAGCCAGCCCAGGCAAGAAAGTCCGTGAGACTCTGATCTCCAATGGACCACTCAGAAAACCAGCAGTGGGGCTGTGGTTCAAGTGGTAGAGCGCTCACCTTGAACTGAAGAGCTGAGGGACAGCGCCCAGGCCCCGAGTTCAAGCCCCAGGACCGACAAAAAAGAGAGAATCATTACAGGAAAAGATGTCCTCATTTGAAAAGCTCTTATAAGAATTAATAGAAAATTTTTCTAAGATCCCATTGGGGCTGGGTGGTGATAACTCATATTTCATTTCCCTCTTCACCCATTCTTGTTCTGTGGGTAGCATAGGTGCTCTGGAGACTCACTGTCTGTGGTTTCTAAGGCTCTAGATCTCTTCAGTTATTGTATCTCTTAGTGTCAATGTATCCCTTTATCTATTGTAATTAATTTAGCCCTAGATTCTAGGTCCCTTTATCTATTGTAATTAATTTATAGCTGGGTCTCTGTTGTAATTGATTGGTCTTTAAACTATGGTAATTAATCTAGCCCTAGACTCTAGGTCCCTTTATCTATTCTAATTAATTTAGCTGTGGACTCTATCCTTTATCTCTTATCATTAATTTACAGCTGGGTCCCTTTATCTATTGTAATTAATTTAGCCCTTGACTCTAAGCCCCTTCAGCTATTGTAATTAATTTACAGCTGGGCCCCTTTATCTACTGTAATTAATTTAGACTCTAAGCCCCTTTATGTATTGTAATTAATTCAGCCCTAGACTTTAGATCCCTTTATCTATTGGAACTAATTTACATCTAGATCCCTTTATCTATTGTAATTACTTGATCCCTTTATCTGTTGGGATTAATTTAGCCCTAGACTCTAGGTTCACTCTAGCATAATTAATTTACATGCAAGTCCCTTTATCAACTGTAATTAATTTAATCTATGGACTTTAGATCCCTTTCTCTATTGTAATTAATTTACCCAGGGACTCCACCCTTTATTGTTATTTACAGCTGGGTTCCTTTGGCTATTGTAACTAATTGGTCCCTTTCTCTAATGTGATTAATGAGTGCCCTTATCTGTCATAATTAATTTACATCCGGGTGCCTTGATCTACTGCAATTCATTTAACCACAGGATCCCAAAGGGAACCGCTTGGCGCAGTGGCAGAATCTCCAGCTGGACACCGGGCTCCAGCAGCTGGCCTTCCCCCTGGCCACCGAGCCCCCACTGGGCTCCTACAGCATCACCGTGCAAATGGAGTCGGGGGTCACCGTCAGGCACCATTTCACCGTGGAGGAATTTGGTAAGGACCCCGGAAGAGCGTGGAGTAAGCACCAGGGCTTGGGCTAGCAAATGCTTCAACTGTGACAGGTCTATGTCATTAAAAAGCTCAGCTCCGTGCTTACACCTGTAATCCCAGCTACTCAGGAGGCTGAGGGCTGAGGTTCACAGTTCAAAGCCAGCCTGGACAGGTAAGACTGGGGAGACTCTTTTATCTCCAAGGAACCAGCAGAAAACAGAAAGTGGTGCTGTGGCTCAAGGGGTAGAGCACCAGCCTTGAGTGAAAGAGCTCAGGGACAGCGCCCAGGCCCTGAGTTCAAGTCCCATGACCTCCAATTCAAAAAGAAGAGAAATCTAGTAGGGCTTGGAATGTGAGTTTATCTGGAACCTTCCCAACAATTAACAATGGATTTGTAATAGAAGTCATTATATCTAAACCCAATGAGGATATCAGTGGTTTGTGAATAATCTTTCATATGGCTTAGAGATTGTGTGTGTGTGTGTATGTTGGGGCTTGAACTCAGGGCTTGGGCGCTGTCCCTGAGCATTTTTGTTCAAGGCTGGTGCTCTACCACTTGAGCCACAGCTCCACTTCCCCTTTTGGTCATTCCCTGAAGAATCTTACAGACACTCACATATGGACTGTTGTTAAGGTAGTACTAGAAATTTAACATACCTTTATTGAGATCAGGATAAAATAACACCAAAAATGTACAAATGCACCAAAAGTAAAGATTGACCATATATACGAAAACCAGTTAAACATAGAAATGAAAAATTATTATTTTAAATATGGATACACAGTGGAATGCAAATGTCAAAATGTTGTGTTTAAAGAGAAATAAAGACAAACAATACATGCTTATCTATGAATAATAACCCATATCTCAAATGCCTTTATGAACTCCAACTTATTGTGGAATGTTCTATGCTTGTCTTACACGTAGAACCTAGCATATTATATGAACATGTAGAATTAAACATTTGTTTTATGTAACAGTGTATTATTACAATAAAATAAAATGTCAATAATCAATAAAGCTCACAACCACTGGAAATACACTTTGATAAGGACCAAAAAACAAAGAATCTTACAGACTTTCCTGCATGGGTTGGGTTTTTTTTGTTTTTGTTTTTTTGCCAATCCTGGGTCTTGAACTCAGGGCCTGGGCACTGTCCCTGAGCCTCTCTGTACTCAAGGCTGGTACTCTACCACTTGAGCCACAGCACCATTTCCAGCTTTTTCTGTTGATGTGGTACTGAGGTATTGAACCTTGAGTTGGTTGTGAACCAAGATCCTCAGATCTCAGCTTCCTGAGTAGCTGGGATTCCAGGCGTGAGCTACCCTAGTGTTAATGGAGTCTTTCCAAATGAACTCATCCATTGCCTCCATTTTAGAGTAAGGGAGATACAAATGCCCTTCCAAGCCCCAAAGCCCATTAGACAACTATAAACAGAGAACCTAAAAAGATGAATACCTTCTCCCTCCCCTAGGCTGCAACTCTAACTTTCTCTGTCCCCATTCAACAGTGCTCCCCAAGTTCGAAGTGCAAGTAACAATGCCAAAGGTTATCACCATCATGGAACAAGAATTGAACGTCTCCGTGTGTGGCTTGTGAGCTGAGTGTTTTTTTTCTCTTTTTCTTTTTAATATGTTGAGGGGAGTTATTGAAAGGAGACTGGCTTTTGTAGAGCTTGTGGCTAATCTCTCTAGGACCAGTGGCAACGCAAAACATGTCTGCTGTTTTGGAGACTTTCCTGACTAGGAAATACTTATTCTGCTGCTTTTCTATTTCCCCTTCTCCTTTGCTTTCCGTGTCCTAATGCACATTGCTGTCATTATGTTTAAAGAGAGTCTATACATACACACACACACACACAGGACTAGTAGCTTTCCCTTAAGCAGATGATAACAAAAGACACTGGTCAAAGCACATTGTACTCTAATTATATAGTGTTGAAAGCCCTTCTACTTAAAGGAAAAAATTAATTTTTTGAATTCTTGAACTCTGGGCCTGGGTGCTGTCCCCTGAGCTCTTTTGCTCAAGGCAGGCGCTCTACCACTTGAACGACAGTGCCACTTCTGGTTTTCTGGTGATTCCTTGGAGATAAAGAGTCACCCAGACTTTCCTGCCTGGGCTGGCTTTGAACTGTGATCCTCAGATCTCAGCCTCCTCAGTAGCTGGGATGACAAACATGAGCCACCAGCACAGGGCTGAAAATTTTGTTATTTTAAAGATGATAATAAACTGCTTGCTAACTAGGGAGATCATTGATCCCTGGTTATAGGAGAAAGCCAATCGTCGATAGATCACTTATTAAACCTTGGAAGAGTATTGTGTGGGGAAGCAAAAAAAGAATTTAGACTCGGGGTTTGTAGCAAGACCACACAGCAAAATCTCACAGAATCCATGAGTCTAGCTCAGGATGACACACCAATCTCTGGCTGCTGTTTACTGGGGAAGCGAACTGAATCTCTCAGGGTGATCTCCTCCTTGTAAAAAGAGCAAAAGATCAGACCTGCACAAAGGCCACACATGCAATGCACCTGCTACTTACTCAGCTGCGCCCCTCCCCCAGCGCTGCTCCAGAACATTCCCCTCCAAGTACTCACTCTCCCCCCACCCCTTCTCCACACCTCAGGAACCAACAAATACAAGACAAGCCTTCATATCAATAGTTGGGATTCCTAGATTGCTTTTGAGAGTGGTTTTTCTTTTCTATTTGCTTGGTTCTTTTGTTTCTAATGGTATTGCTTTTCTTTTTTAAGATATATGTATATTCTATTATTATTGTAAAGGGAATGGGTATTGATTTTCTCTTAAGAAGGTATCTAGTGTTTGTAACACTCCACACACACACACACACACACACACCAAAAAAAAAAAAGGCTTCATCAAAATGATATTAAATTGAAAAATCAAGCCAAGCACTATGGTCCATACCTACAGCCCCAGGAGGCAAAAAAAATAGAAGGCTTGTGGTTCAGAGCTAGCCCGGGCAAGACATGAATGGGACGCCTTTGAGACACATGAAGAGGCCTAAGTATCAGGATTAAGGCCCCGAGCTCTGGGACCTTAGGCAAAAAGCATGAGCCTCTCTCTGGAAAAATTTAAAAAGCAAAAACATAAAAAGGGCCAGGGATATGGCTCAAGTGGAAGAGTACCTGCCTAGCAAGTGTAAGGTCCTGACTTTAAATGGAAGTACTGCAAAGGAAGGAAGGAAGGAGGGAGGGAAAGAGGGAGGGAGGGAAGGAGGGAGGGAAGGAAGGAAGAAGGGAGGGAGGGAGGGAG